AAATCTCCAGAACAGGTGCGAAACTTCCCGCTTGTCAGTGTCATATTTGACAGTAAATGGGGCCCAAATGGAGCTCCCATTTACTGAAATACCATGAATTTTGATCCCCCCATTCCAAACGTGAGTACCCCAGGCCATTTCCGTTACAATATGTAGCTTTAATTTTCAAATTTGCCTCTACTCCTATCTCACACAATTAACAAACAAAGTTAAGTAATATCTGGAAAAAATGACCTTCATCATCATCATCATATTAGCCCACTATAGGTGCACTGTTGAACATAGGCCTCCCGCAAACTGTGCAACTCATGCCTATTCTGCGCGACCTGCATCCAGTTCGTTCGGATTCTCCGTAAGTCGTCCGTCCATCTCGTCGGGGTCGTCCTCTACTTCGATAGAATCCTCTACATCGTGGTCTCCATTCGATAATTTTCTACTCCATCGATCGTCTCTAGTTCCCGCAACGGGACCTGCCCAGTTCCATATTAAAGAGGATATTTTCTTTACTGCATCCGTAACTCCTGTCCTGCGCCGTATATCTCTGTTATGTATTCTTTCCCTAAGTGATACCCCCAACATCGATCTTTCCATTGCTACTTGTGTTGTTCTTATTTTATTAGTCGATTTCTTAGTTAGTGTTAGGGTTTCGGCTCCATACGTCATCACTGGCAGGACACATTGGTTAAAAAGTTTGCGCTTTAGACATATGGGGAGTTCAGACTTGAATGATTCTCTGAGGTAGCCAAATGCTGCTCATGTCAAATTTATTATCCTAAAGATTTCAGAGGTCTGATTATCCCGGCCTATTCGGATTTCGTGGCCCAAATATTTATATGATGTCACTTGTTGTACTTCATTATCACCTAAGGGTATATTGGTGGATACTATTAGATTAGTTATAAATTGAGTTTTTGATATGTCTATTTTTAACCCAACTTGTCCGCATGCTTGGTGGAGTTTTTCAAGAGATGCTGTGGCATTGTCAATATGGTCTGAGATTAAAACTATATCATCGGCGAACCTGAGGTGGTTGAGGTTTTCATCGTTGACACTAATACCCATATCATCCCATATATTATTTTACAAATGTATTGAAGTAATGTATTAAACAGTCTAAGGGAATTAGTATCGCCCTGTCGAATTCCACGATTTATATTAAATTTGTCAGTATCGGCAAGAAGTCTAACATGAGCTGTGGCACTGTCATAGATGTTCTTGATGAGTGCTATATAGCGGTGGTCGATACGGCAATCTGCTAGGGCTAGAAGCATCTCATGTGGTTTGTGGTATTCGACACATTTTTCTATTAGAGATTTTATCACTTGTAGGTGATCGTTAGTACTATAGCCAGAACGAAAGCCAGCCTGTTCACAGGGTTGGTAGCTGTCAAGTTTGTTGGTGAGCCGCTTTGTAATTACTGCCATGAATAGCATGTATACGTGGGAATTAGGCTAATTGGTCGATTCCTCAGATCTGTGACATCGCCTTTCTTGTGCATAATTATGATGACAGCATTTGTCCATTGAGAAGGAGTTGTACCCTTTAGTAGGCAGGCATTGAATAGTTTTTGGACTACAACCAGCAAGGTTGATCCTCCTTCCTTGATATACTCAATTGTTATGTCATAATCGCCAGGCGATTTGTTAATCTTCATATTTTTGATAGCTGACTTAATCTCTTCAATAGTTACCTCTGGGATATCTTACGATCCCACGTTCTGGACTTTTGCTATTTGCTGTTGATTTAGTGGTTCACCTTGGTTTGAATATAGCTCTGAATAGAAATCCGTCACTACTATAAGCAATTTCTCCCTGCTCGTAACAATGTTCCCATATTTATCTGCTAACTTCCAGATGTTTCTTTTGCCCAAATTTAGTCTGCGTCGGAGTATCTTCATGCTTTTATTTTCTTCAATCGTTTTTTCTACCTGTGATGTGTTATATGTTCTAATGTCTTTTCTGATAGCTTTAGAGATGTATTTATTTAGCTGTCTTAGAGAGGGTATAGTTTGTTGTTTATTTGCCCAACACTTCCCTTCTATACTTCATCATATTTAATGTGTTTGTACTCAATTTTTCTTGCCTTTTCCTAATTTCACTACAGCTTTCTTTTCGGGCTTCTTGTATCGAATGGATAATTTGTTTATTCAGGTCTTCAACGTTTATGTGTTCTTCATTTCTGTGTTCAACATGTTGTAGATTGGACGTAACCATTGTTTCAAAGGCATCTATATCACAAATGCAGTTCTGCTTAAGCTTTCGTGTTCCAGATATCATCTTTTCTCGTTCTTTCCTTGTGTTGATTACAATTTTTGTTCGGACTAGGCGATGGTCACTGCCCACAGTGAAATTGTTTAGTACGGTGACATCTTGTATTATATCATTTCTATTTGATATTATAAAATCAATTTGGTTCTTCGTAACACCGTCGGGACTCAGCCAAGTCCATTTGCGCTGGTCACTCTTTTTAAAAAAGGAGTTCATACATAGCAGTTTACGGTGTAACATGAAATTCCGAAGCATACCGCCTCTACCGTTTCTTTCTCCATAACCGTAAGGACCCAGAGCAAATTCACTATCGTCTAATTTGTGGCCTAATTTTGCATTAAAATCGCCAAGAAGGATCGTATACTGTGCTTGGTCTTGTCGTATTGCTTTAGATATAGATATCTTCGTAAAAGTTGTCGCCTTCATCGTCACTGTGAGTTGATGTTGGTGCATACACTTGGATAATTTTCATTTTGTTTCTTTTATTAATATCTAGTAATAGATATATAACCCTTGTTGAGATACTTTATATTTTTAGTATTTTTAGTATACTGTTTTTGTGTGTTTTGTTGATGATAAAGCCTACTCCCCCTTCTAGCATTTCTTCCTTTCCTCTGTTGTGGAACAGATGTCCTGATTTGAGCTCTATTTAGTTCTCTCCCTTGCGTCGAACTTCACTGATACCTAACCCATCCAATTCCCATTTAATGTAACTTAGCTCTTCTTCTAGTTCGTGCATTTTTTGGTCGGTTGATAGTGTTCTTATATTATACGTGGCAATATGTATTTCCCTTTTTCCATGGTAGCCGGATCTATCCCGGAGATTCTTCGCACCCTTTGCTCTTAGCCTTGTCTGATTGCTACCGTAATCAGGGACTTTTAAGCCGCCGGGGACTAAGGGCCATTGTGTATTTTGTGTGTACATCTTTTTTTTTCTGTGGGGTTTATTTAGCCTGATACTCTGGTAGAGTATCAGGCTAAACCACGCTGGCCATTGCGGGTTGGTTGAGGGATGATATGACCGATTACATTTCGTTAATCCTCGGTTTAACAGTTATACCGGCTGTGACTCGGTCGCCAGCGCCTAGTTAGTTGTCTAGCAGGAGGTACCGGATAGCTGAGGAGATCGGCCACCACTCGTGCAGGTGAGGTTAGCATTTCAGCAGGCTTCATCCAGTTGCCATCGCTCCTTACCCCCCTTCGGGTGTAAATAAGACTTTATAATTGTAAACTTTGTATTCTTTGCAGTTTATCAAAACTGCCGTAGACAAATCGATAATTTACTAAAACGTACTGCCAGTCGGTAAAGTCAGACATTTTTTAACCATCTTTCACAGTTTTGAGTTAATTAGGACCTAATTAGGACTTAAGAGCTATTTGGTAACGTAGTTTTTTAAGAATACTTATTGATGCCTGAAATTCGACGACGAAAGAAAAATATTGGAAAAAGCAGATTTATGACAAATTATTGCAAAACATACATCAAGCCATGGGCAATAAATTATCTGTCATGCTAATCCAGTCGTTCATTTGCAACTAAGTTAACATCCTGCTTTTTACTTTGCAACATATAATCATGTAGTTGAGGGAAACTTTAGATCTGTCGCTATATTTGGCAATTTATCTTACATGAAAACGCGGCGGGATAAATTATGCCTCAATAAATCTAAAAGGTGTAAACTTTGCGTAAGGAATCCATAGGAAACTGATCAATCTTCTTACAACAAGGTCGTTATTTCAGGATCCTATTTTATTTTCCTATGCCAAAGTTATATAGATTTTCGAATAATATATGCTAAGTCATCAATTACGTTTAAGGTAGCGAATCAACACATGGATTGGCTGATATACAATCAATATTGTTGGATATATTGTTTTGCTGTTGAATTACTTTCCGAAGATAAATCAGATGAATTGTTCAGTTGTGCCCGTCTTTTCTACTGCCATTTATCAAAAAAACGGAAAGAAATTGAAGCAAACAGAAAATGTTCAAAACATTTATCATGGAATGAAAACTGTCCCTATTTATGAGCAATATATAATTTTGTAATGTTAAAATTAAACCGAGGGTGGAAACTGGCAGTAATTAGTGGTAATAATTGTGTTGCACGAATCAGATACTCTCTCCTCAGAAGAATACATAAGACTCCTTTCATCTCAAGTTTTGAAACAGACATTTAAAACTTCCTGTTTATTTCGTTCTAATATTTCTTTTTTTTTCTATTTCAGCATAGAGACACCCAAGAAACTTTAGCTGTTTTAGATAGGTTAGATTTAGATACTGAAAAACCGAGCGACGAAGAAATAGCTAGGAAATTTGGTTTTGAAGATGCCTATTTCAAGGGCAGATTATCATGGTGGCAGTTAATGAAACCTAAACTATGGTCTCTATTTGATGAACCCTACTCGTCAACAGCGGCAAAAGTAAGTATTTTATTTCAGCGGAATTTTTATCAAACCGGCGCGTTTAATTAAGTGTGCCTTAAGCAGTCATTCCAAAGTTATTTTTGCAAATTAGTTAGGAAAGTAAAATAAAGGCCTTCAATTAATTGGAAAAGATATTAGTGGAATCTGTTTGAAGAGGGTATAGAGTTTAAGACGGATGTTTGTTAAGCCGATAACTTTTTATTCTGAAAGTCATCTTTGCTTGAAAAGGGTCTTTAGTAATTTATTTGGGCCCTCAACCTGCCGAAGGGATAAGGGATAACCCTTATGACAGTTGAAAACCCTTATTAAAATGGTGATTATGGAAAAAACTGTCTGAGCTGCAAATGTGGCCTTATGGAGTTGTGGCTATCGAAGCTAACAGTATTTCACTCATAGTAAACTCTAAACTATAGTCTAACTCTAAACACTGGACAATTATTATTATTGCGAGTAGAGCACAGATATTATATTGGAAGGGATGAAAAAGCTAAACCCTAGATTAATTTATTCCTAATTGATAGGCTCCGTTAATTAAAAACCTTGCAAAGTAATGAGGTTAGTGTTCGGTTACATTCGTTAAAATGCAGTATCTTTTTACAAATTAATTGTTTGCCTTTGCCAATATGAATCAATTATTATACCTGTCTAATAACAAAAAAACAGCAAAGTAAAAACCGTTTCTTCGTAAAGTTATTGTTTGTTGCTAATTTATTTTAGTACGTATTTTCCTGTTCTGATTGTGGTGCTATTTAAAAATGTCTAACGTATTTTTGAAAATACGTTTTTTCAGCTTCATTCAGGTATTCACAATTAACTATTCAATCGAATAAATTGTAAAATTATATGAAGGCACAGATAACTTATTTAAAATTAAGAAAACTAAAAAAAGGCCGAGTAATACCTACAGATATGAGTTTTTTCAGCATTGCTAAAACAAAGTTGACATATTTTATAGATTTTTCAGAAGAAGCCTGATCTAAAAAGTTTGCGAGCAGGTAAAGTTTGGAGCGTTCCATTATCATTTAAAGTACGAGACAAAATGCTATGATATGGGCTTATTTTAATTAAAATACTTTTCGAAGTTTGATTTGTTCAATGGAAGTTCGCTATTTTCAAAGGTTTTTAATTAATTGTCTGTTTTAAACTTTGTTAATGAGTTAATAGAGCAATTTTTGTCATCTTGTGGTGTCCAAATTGGTTACATTATTGGAAGTCTTTTATTAAGGATCACATCAAGTGAACATTTCCGATCTCTTCAAATAAAACAATTATATTGTCCAAACTGATGCATCGCTCTAATATCGATAGAACAATACGCAGATATCGCATCATATTCCAATAATCGCAGATTCATTGATATACACGAATTGGTTTACATTACCATCATTTACATCATTTGCCATATACTGGAATTGTTAGGCAATATGTGACAAAATTTAATTTATGACACATATTGAAAGTACGTGAATGACTAATTTCTTTATAAATGTCTTATTGTGGTAAAACAATTGATTCGAATTCACAAAAAAAGTGCTTGTAATGAACCGTTTCCTAAATTTGCCAAATAATTAAATTTGAATGAATTAAAATTGATCTACTTAGAAGATCCACAGTCTCGCTAATTTTACCAACAAAAAATTAATTTTTGCCCCTCAACGAACATAGAGAATATTTTATAATCAAGAGTTTAACACTAATACAAATCAATGAATACATGATTCGGAAAAATATTTGAATATTAAACATAGTCAATAAATCCTTGGAAGAAGAAAGAGCGGAAGTGAATGAAGACCGAATGCACAGCTACATTGCAACTGAATTGATGATTAAGAATTAAATTAATTTGTTTCACTTGTTTTTTGCGTCCCAATTGGAAAATTAAGTTGAACTATCTATCTATCACTATCTAATTAATTGGCCGACGTTTCGACCGTTATTGGGGTCTTCTTCAAGGCTCAAATTCTATGTTGAAGTTGTGTCTAATTAAATGATACATTATAGTGAATGCATTCCCATGGCAAAACGCCAGTTATTTAAAAAAAACCGTAAATATGCATTATGTCGAATATGAACGAATTAACGACATACATATTATCGCTGGGGCAATTTTTAAATTACATTGGACTTCTATTAGCCATTAGCCTGGAAAGAAATGCTCAAGCATTTCATCTACTTGTTGGACTGAAGAAAGGACTGACTATATTTATCTTCAAAACATTTATTTGCTTTAATATGCGACTTGCGAAAAACGAGCAGTCATATCTAAATCCTGATGGAAAAATTGAATAAAACCCACTAAAGGAAAGCGAAAAATTATGAAGACTTATGCAAATATAACGGATAGGATCATAAGGAGGGTTGGAGTAGGTACAAGTTAATTAACGGAAATTTATTCAGTTTTAACAAGATCTTCATAGAATTCTTATGATATTTTGAGTGAGTGAAACATTTATTTAACTACTATTTTTAAACTAGTTTTTAAAACTTACGTAACAATTGGAAGTTTCTTTCCACGTTAATTGATTTTTTTGTTTCAGGTAATAGGAGTTTTGTCAGTATTTTTTATCTGCGTGTCTATTTTATCGTTTTGCCTGAAAACCCATCCCGACATGAAAGTTCCAGTCATCAGTAGGATACTTGTGCGGACAGCGAACAATTCGAGTGATTATGTTTTAGACAAATCGGACACTGATGCTCACATAGCATTTTTTTATATCGAGTGCTTTTGTAATGCCTGGTTTACTTTCGAAATTTTAATCAGGTAAGTAAAAATATAACTGTTCTGGATGTATAGTGCGGAAATTATTCGTATGATCTATGTGAAAATCCACCTACTATTTTTTTAAGTTGTTGTAATCAACGTATTCTAAGCGAAACTTGACATGCAACTTCCTAGTGTTGGGCTTTGCAACACTCTCTCGTAACTTTTCCGATTTCACAAACCAACATGCCTCTAGTTCCATATGTTGCAAAAATGCGTCTATAATGCAAACTAAGCAAAAAAGATGTTCATGACTTTGGACAATTTCTCCTGTGGCCATACAAATTGGTATCTTCCGTTTCATATGGAGATATTATATAGAAATATTTATGTTGAATACTCAGTGTTAATGCTGCTCAGACAAATGATTTAAATTTCAACATTTCTCCATCCAAATGTACTACTTTCTACACTACGTAAAGTTGAATAAACCGAAAACTAATTCACAAAATATCCTCATTAGCAAATCTTTAAAATAACATAGGGAGATGAATGGCAGGGCGATTCGATATATATCATTTCGATTCTCAGAGAATTACGTTTAATATGTGTCAATATATGGAAGCAATTTATTAACTCCGGAGAAACCCTTTTCGTTTGCTTTCCCCACTTTCCACCACATTGGTGAACGTCTCGGAAAATCTATCACGTAAGGACTGGAGAATTTGCCATGTCTTTTTGGCACTCCGCCTTTATTAATTTCGGGACAATGGCAAGGATTAGTGGTTGATTGATATAGCAGCACGAAAGTCAATTTAGCGGTAAATGGTCGAATTTATGGAAACCTAATTTTGCGACAAACGTGGCCGATCAGATTTGATACTTAAGGTTTCTTTACGGTAATATGAAAAAATTGAAAATATTGCAATGAGAAACAGAACGTATTGAAGCAACGAATGAATGTTTCATGAACGTCAGTTGATGTTCAATATCGCTTTGAGCCGCGTCAAAGAATGTTCAAACATGGGGATTTGAAATCTGAAATCGCCGGAGGAACACATTAATGCAAGCCATTAAATCTATTGGTTTAATATCCCAGCTCAAAAGAAGGATATTCTCTTTCCAGAAATATTTCGTTCAAAAATACAGCTTTATAAATAAATCACTCCTCGCTATATTCTAAAGACATTCAGTGAATCGCCGTTTCTCAAGAATTTTAATTGCAACGGATTCTACCAAAATGGTTACAAGACAGAAGTTTATTTGGCGAATACTATGCCAGTATACTAAAATCGAAATCAAAAAATGTATCAATTAATGTTTACTTTACAAATACATAATCCAGAGTTGTCAAAAAGTTCCATGAAATCAAACTTTCGTTTCAGGTTTAATAATTATTTTACGAGTTTTATACAGTAAAATGACGAGCGTAATAATAAAAATTTATGAGCTGAAAGAAACTAGGCAATCAATTCAAGTTGATTTTATTGTGCCCTCAACTTTGCTGTTGAATAATTTAGCATACATTAACGCTATAATTCGAGAAACTCCCAACATTAAATCTTATTGCAATTGATAGATCCAGACAAATATAAATCGAAAATTTTCCTTGGGCTGTAACTATCAAACTATTTCGCATAATCCCGATCGACATCAAGATTTAAATCTTAGCTAAGCCGGCGACATTCTTTTTGCGCATAAAATTTAATAACAGAACTCCCGAAAACGAAAACAGCTCGATAATCACAATGTAGGTTATTAATTTTGTCATTTTTTATTTGCAGTAATATATTTTCCCTTTAGTAGCTTTCAAAAGATCAAAAGACTTCACTTGTTATTACGCATAAACGATTCATTATTTCCTTTTTAATTACAACTTCCTTAACAACGAGCTTTTCGGCTTGAATTGTTCCTACAAAAATAAATTTTAATAATTCTCTGTATGATGTAAATGGCAGCACAAAATCAAACATAATGTGAAATACGACAGACTGCTACATTCTCTTTAACTTAATTTGCTGTTTTTGGACATAATGAAAGACGTAAGTCTTCTGATTCCTGGACGGGAGATAACGCATATGGTGGAAAGTTTCCTATGTTTTCCTTAAATTTAGTTAATTTTAATTACGTTTTCAGTTCTATCCAATATTTGTTGTCCAAAACAGTTGCCAGAACTCTTGTTTTTATGTTTGACAATATTGATTAGAAAATATCAAAAACTAGGAAATCGAGACTGAAAAACACTTTGTTTTTCGTAGCTTTATTTTGTATTCACGTACGAATCGAATGTTCACATTCGATTCTTACATAAAAAAGATACTCTAATCGTAACATGTCAGACTTTAAGGCTGTTTCGGTTTTGACAACAGTTAAATAAAAAATGTATTCATTATTCCCCAATGCGATGAGTATTTAATAATAAAATGCGCACTTGTATCCTTAAATCAGTCTTAAATCATGATCAACTGACATCTGAGTTAACTATTAATAATTTTTTTGTTACCTAAATGGCAGAGCAGGAATTAAAATCTGAATCAATTTGATTTCACGGCATGATTTTTAACTTTATTTGCCAATTTTTCAGTCGAAAGAGTTTTCAGTCGAAAGAGCTTCGAAAAAGTAAAGCTGTGTACAATATGTCGAATCACGTTAAGTGTGTTTGGGTTTGAGATCCGATTATCGAGAAAAACACAAACAACGGCCTACCGGATCAATAGCGCAGTAATTCGCCGTTGTTAACGTTATCGATGCTGCTACTTTGCACATTGGGCTGATTTAAGTCGTTAATAGCCCTCACTATTGTTTGCATTTGATATATTAATTAATACTGGGTAACAAAAGATGCGCCCTGGTTTCAAATGCTCTTACAATTGTGAGACTTAGAAATTACCAAACAATTTTTGAATACGGAAAGCTGAAAGAAGTTTTACAAATAAATAGAAATTCAACGTCGACGCAACGTCGACATCGACATCCATGTTTCCGTAACAGAACTGCAGCACATGCAAAACACAAATGGCTTCAATATCTGCCTCTATTTTATAACGAATAATTTAAGCTTTATTTGAATACAGGCTTATTCTCTTATTTAGGTTTATAGCAAGTCCAAACAAATGCGACTTTATCCGATCGTCAGTTAACATCATTGACTACATAGCAACTGCAAGCTTTTATATTGACTTGCTGTTGAGGCGATTCGCATCCCATTTAGAAAATGCCGACATCATGGAGTTCTTCTCTATAATCCGAATTATGAGGCTCTTCAAACTAACGAGGCATTCCTCCGGACTGAAGATTCTAATACAGACTTTTAGAGCTTCAGCGAAAGAACTCACGCTACTGGTGTTTTTTCTTGTTTTAGGTAAGTTGTCTACAATTGTTGGTGCAATTTATTTATTTTTTGTACTTTATTTTAATTAATGATTTGTTCATGTTCATTCGGTATTTTACCTAAGTTTTTTTATTGATTTGTAAAATAAGTATTGTTGGATTAGTCTGTAATTATTCTCAAAACAAGCAAGCAAGCAGGCAAGAAGTTGAGTGTTGCCTCAATTGTGACCATGCAAGCCATTAATTAATATAATATTGGCTTTTGCGTGGTGGAAAATAAAAAAAATATGTTTATAGCATCAATGGAATATTTTTTGATGTATGACGAATTTGCCTGTATATGCGTCGTATCTTTCAATAACGCTTTAGACTGATCGTCAGACTACCAATTAAACAAACGAAATTTTTTAGATACGACGGATCTCAATAAACCTTTTATTGAGATATTTTTTCAGAAGTTCCAAACCTTTTTTGACGGAACACCCGTCAAACTCAAGCTACTGTACTCAAAGTTTCGAAATTGTTTTACAACTCCAAAGCAAAAGTAATAATTTTAAATGAGCCATTCTCTGGGAATTTTACTTTGTTTCTGAAACTATTTGTGTTATCAGCACTCAGGAAGGATACCTGTCATGGCCATGGGTAACTCAGTTAATTTTCAGGAGTTTGCACAGAAATGGCTTGTTGCGTCAACCCAACCGGCACAGTAAATTACCGGTGCAGTTGCCTTGCATTCACCCATTTGATAAAACGTTGCTCCTATGAAAGGTGGTAAACTTTTTTTTAGGTGTTGAAATACCCGACCCGGGCCTCCTAAATTTTTGAGTTGAATGCTACGCGTAATTATAATTGCAGCACACAGAGAAACAAAAGATGTTCAGACACAAAAAATTTACTTTTTACCTTTACTTTACCCAAGTTCACAGTTGTACCCCACACATCGTTGAGAAAATTTTGCTTAGGATTGCAAAAACTGTTACGGAACACATTTTGCATCGCGTTTTTCGGACATAAATTTTTCTAAAACTACAAATACTCTACAAGTTCAGAGTTGTACGTTCAGTAATGAAAAGTGCGCTCGAAATGTCGTCAAAATTTCGTTATATCTTCAAAATTTAATTCAAATCACATGAAATGCTGCTTCGTAAATATTCATTTGAAAATGACCGCTTTTGCGCAACTGCAGACTCGTCAATAAAAACTCAAAAATATATCCAGTAGAAACTTGAAAGAGTGACATTATGTAGAAGAAGTTTTTTTATGGAATTTTTGCATAACGTTGCACCTAAATATTTCATGTTCAAATTTCGTGTGAGTTTTTGCGGCAAATCCCCCAGAGTTTACTCACGCACGTTGTTATAACTTAAGCGAGTCACCAATTCTCTATTCGATAATAGAAAAACGAACTCTGTGGCTTAAATGGTTCACGAGCAATGTCAAAAAATGTGGTCTGCTTCGGGCGATTTTACAATTTAACGAAAAACAGGCAACACTGAAACTCTTGACTTTTTTTTACAAATAACATAAAACTGGAACCCATATTTGCGTATTTGAAACGGTTATTTGGAGACAAACTACAGATGAGCTTGATGCAAAAATACAAAGTCGTCCAAAATATTTCCAAAGTTTAAAAATTCCTTATGGAGGAATCAATAGGTTAATTGAAACCAGATCCACACTGTCAACTGATGCTAACTGTATTGAATACTGGAATCTAAATTTCCATATCTGAAGCGGTTCTTTAGCGAAAAACTGCAGACGAGCTTAATATGAAAATATAAAGCCGCCCAAAATATTCCCAAAGTTTAAAAATTTACTGCGCAAAAACCAATAGCTCAATCGATACCAACCTTATGAGGCATTTGATGAATATGGGACTAAAATTTCTACATCTACATGGATGGCAACCAGGGGAAAAGTCATGCTGAACTTATCGAAACCTGCGTAGTGCCACCTGGAAAGAAAGAAAAAAAATATGTTTAGTGCAGCAGGAAATCTCTCCAAAGCGAAACTTATTTCAAATCATCAAAGCAAAGAGATAGAGAAATATAACGAATCCATCACATATCATTGAAGCAAAAAAATTTATAGATTAGACATCATTCATACCAGCTGTCTGCAAGCTCCATGCTCCATTTTCTAGCCATTAATCCTCAAGCAGTTAACTACACTTTTACAAACTACCGCACTTGCCATAAGAGCCACAATAATCCTATATTTCTCATCGAACAACGCGATTCATACAACTTAAAGGATTATCGACCGATTTTGTCCACTGTCGGTAGCAAACTGAATATCTTCTCGAGAAAAAAAAACTCCGAACTATAGAATAAACATGATTATTTAATCATTTCGGGTTCGCCCTTTCGATGATTCATGCTTTACTTTTCAGCAGTTCGATTTTAGTTTGTTTATTGTTGACATTTTTGTAGAAAGTGTCTTCACACGGCAATATTTTCAAAGGCAAATTTCAACTTAACGAAAGACAACAACAAAAAAACGAAAAACGCTCCCAGTGCCGATCTTTCACTAATTTAATTTTAACATTAGAGCCATTTATTTTTGTCTGAATTTCACTCAGCTGGAGTGATTAATACACAAAACTAAATTTAATAACCGACTTATTTTTTTTTTAAATATTGACTAAACAAAAAACCGCGGAGAACTCATTTAAAAGTTGCTCAATTTCCGAGTGATGATAGAAACCAACAAAATTTCTTCAACTAGTTAAAAATGTAAAAAAAATGCAGTGAGTTAATGGTTCGAGGTGCAGCGCAGTGAGTTAAGTTTATAGTTGATCATTTCTCATCATGATGTTTTCATCCCAGAAATCTGTGGTTAATTTTTGTACAGACTTTTTACAGACTTCCGGCATATTAATAATTAGTTTTCATATATTTTTTCAAATATTTTAGTTGCGTTTTGTCTATTAAGACTGGTATTAAGAACTATGATTATTTTTCCTTTTTTTGGAAAGTAAATGACCGACTTAACATGTACTGGTTTGCTTCACTACAATAAGTAATCGCGTGCAGATGAAGCAACTGTTTTTTGCAAATCTAGTCAGTTCTGATTAATATTAAAAAACTAGTAATTTTCCCACATTTTCTTCAAATTAATTCGGAAAACATCAGTCTTTTTAAAGGCCCACAGAGCTAAACTATTAAACCATGTAAAAGATATATGGCAAACCGTTATCATTTTTCAGTATTCAATAAATCGAACTTTTTCCAATCCGGCTTCTTGAGCTACTTGCCGTCAAGATATCATTGAAAACGCGTTAACATACTCTTATATTGCCACTTCGATATTTCGAATGCTTCTAATGGGTATTTCTTATGAATCTCACTTTTCACAGATTCTGAGTTTCCAAATTTATCTGCTACTCGATTTACTACATTTGAAGAGGTTTCTCGCTTCACTTGAAACCGAGAGAAAAATCTAATTCATTCTTGAAAACAGCTTGGTTGCATTTGTAAACGACAGTGAAAATGGAAATTTAGAATTTATTTAATGTTTAATTTAAAACAAAATGAAAAAGAGACAAGAGAATGTAGTGTAAACGTGTGCAGACAAATGTGCATGTTTTGATAGCAGCTGATTTTACGCATAAAAATATTTCAAAACGATCAAACAAGTTTCCTAAATTGTTTCTGCTTTTTGAGGGCATGATTTTTTATTTGGTTCTAATACTCTGTAAATCTATAACGATAGATTCCTGGGCTATCGCCTTTATTGTAACAAAATTGAGTTCATTTTGGAAGTTAATTAAGATATTTAAATAAACTCTCCTTCTCCGCACGACTGGGAAAAGCAGCCGAGCTAAGTCTACCAAAAGTATTCTAAACTATACGCAGAGTCGCTCTTGAAATATTAGCTAATTAGCTTGCATTATTAGCTCTTGGAGAGCCATCCTGTATACAGGGTTATTCAAGTTATACGACAAGGCAGAATGCGGATGAACTATTCGATTTTTTGAAAGCATCACTTTATGGAGAACTGTGTGATGCAACGTGATGAAATGTGACAATTTTGTGATGCATAGGAAGTACGAATTATTAGATTTATTCCAAAGTTGCATTTACGTTGATGAAATCCGGGGGAAATAAATGAGAAATAAAAAGCTTGCGGTTTAGGTATTAGTTAATTGATCAAATCGAAGATCCTTTTTAAATGACAAATGATCAACACCAATTTCGAGTTTGGACACCAAATTATATTTGGCGGCTACTAATGTTTGGCTAACTTTGTGACAAAGTAATAAAAATTAGACTTAGACTTACAGGGTGTAGTTTGTGTTCAAACAATTGCAAATTTTGTACCTCAATCGAGTTAATTTTTTCAACCACATGACATATCCAAATCAAGATATCCACTTTTTTATATACCTTGGCTACATGTTCATTAGCTAGAAGTTATATCCGTACTAAAAACACTGAGTCGATGTTAACTATGTTCGTTCATCTTTTGCAGGAATTGTTATATTCGCCAGTTTAGTGTACTATGCCGAAAGGATACAAACGAACCCGGACAACGACTTTAAAAGCATCCCTTTAGGACTATGGTGGGCTCTAGTCACTATGACTACAGTGGGCTATGGGGATATGGTGCCCAAAACCTACATTGGGATGTTTGTGGGTGCCTTATGTGCCTTGGCAGGTGTACTGACGATAGCTTTACCAGTACCTGTGATTGTATCAAATTTTGCTATGTATTATAGTCATACGCAGGTAGGTACCACCAAAATTTGATTATTCTGTGAAACGGTTATTTGCACGTTTTTTTTTCGTTGTATTTGAATATTTATAGCCAGTTCTTCTCCACGAATTAAATGTTTTTTAGCACTCGCAAAAGCAACAGAAACAATCATTCGAATCTAATTATATCGTATGTATTAATTATTTACCGGATCGTTAGCGTCAATTATCTATCCATAGTAATCCCAGTGCCAACACGCATCTCATCTCTTCATAGCCAAGATATTTTTTTCAGAAAAATATATGAAACTGAATACTAAACCAAATATATACAAATTTAATAATAAGTGTGTGTTTTGTGCATTACAAAATATTATTTTAATATGTTTTTTGTGAAAAATACATTTTTATCAGAGCGACTGGAATGATTTCCAAACAAAACATAAAGCTTTTGTCAATTCATACGGTAAATTTATTTTACTTTATCACTTTAAGGCTCGAGCCAAACTACCGAAAAAACGACGTCGTGTTCTCCCAGTAGAGCCTACTAGAGGCCCAAGGATACCAGGCCCTGTTATGCCCGGGGCTGCCCCGGGCCTGGGCAATGCAGCAGGACCGGTGGCAGCCCAAAACCGAAGAGTAAACGCAGTCAAATCGAATCATCCGAGCAGAGAAAACCTGTTGGGCGCCCCTGTACCAAAAATGGGTTAGTATCAGAGTGGAGGTGTCATTTTCGTAAGTAAATATCACATTTTGTTTTAAATTTTTATCAGATTTTGTATTCTGCTAATATACAAGGTTATTCACGCTATACGGCACGGACGTTTGCGGCTAGCCCATTTGTTTTTTGCAAAATATTATTTGATAAATTCACAGACGCCTAACGGGTGCACATTTTAAAAATATTTTTGTAATGTACAGAGTATCCCAAAATCCCTAAAAGTATCAAGTTGTGTTTTTCTAAATGAAATACTTTTTTAAATATTATTGCATTTTTGGATTCTCTGAGCAAAATAAGTGTTTGTTTTAATAAGATTTATAATGTCTAAATC